TGGTTGATTTCAAAATATACATATTTGAAATAAATTCTAAAAATACTAAAAGTTTGAAGTTTGACTGGAATTTTGGTTTTGAACAATACCGATATCGATAATATATATGTTCTTGTTTGAATCTCATTCTTTTGAAAAAATGCATTTTTCAGCAGTATTTTAACATCATTTTAACAACATATTCTTCAATAAAATAATATTACATGTAAATCTAAAATTTTTCTTTATTTGTTAACCACACATTTTCCATCAATACACTATTCAAAAATTCATTCTCCCCTCCAAAATGGGGCTCAAACAAAGGCGTGCGCGCGCGCACACGCACACATATATATAATTCCTCCGTCCTATAAAGATAGAATTATTTCTATTTTTCGCACAAATTAAAAAAATACAATTAATATAGTTGAAAACATAAAAAAAATTTAACATTTTTTCTAATATACCTTACATTAAATAATAATTTAAATAAGAGGAATTAATATTTGCTGATAATAAATCACACCAAATATTAGTGTATTAGAAAACTGAAAATTAATTGTACCCTCAACAAAAAAATTAATTATAATTTGAGGCTGCTCCGCCTATGATAGTTTTCATGTTTTTCTGGTACCTTCACTGAAATCCGTTAGGGTTTTGTTTGCACGGAATTTAATTGTACCACCACCTCTACGCATTGATTTTCGAGAAAGAAACACACAGAAATTAAAATAAAGGTTGGAGTCAGTAATTATACGTGCCGTGCCTCCTTTCACGCACACCATGTGACACTCACGAATTGTATTCTATAAACTATTGTACAGAATAACATTGAAATTTGAAACTTTTTTATCTTTCATTTATTCGTATGAAATATTGTTCGATTCAACTTATCAAATATATGAAGTCAACATTTGGTAGGGAATAAAATCAAATTTTTAATAAATTTTAATAAAAATTGATGAAATATATAGTCGAAAAAAGTTGTGAACCCATAAAATATGTCGTTCAAATTAATTGTTGATTTTGATTTAGATTAAAATCTGAATTTTAATTTTCACCTAGGTTAAAATTCCTTTATTTATCAACCAAGATTAATTAACGTGTTTGAAATTTTGGTTTTATCCGCTAAAAGTTGATAAAATGTATAGTTGAAAAAGTTGTGAATCTCAAGGACGAACCAAGAATTATAGTTCAATAGGAGCAAGACAGAAAATGAGCAAAAATAAATTGTGAAAGAAATTTAAAAAATCAGAAAATTTAAATTTAAAAAGGTCCAATCGAAGGTTTTTGAAAATTCAGTGGGAGGCGGCCGACCCCACTTGTTCCTTAGTGGGTCAGCCCCTAGTAAATCTCATGAAATATATAATTAATATTAATTGTTGACTTTGACTATATTAATTAATGTGGTTGAAATTTTGTAACAAATAATTATGTAGTGTGTGTCTCTATTTGTGTGTTTGTTTATGTATTAAATTTCTGAGGAGATGCTGCTATTAGGTAGTACAAAATGTGCGATCCCAGGCATCTCTGATCCATATGCCAATACTTAATTTTTAAACAATGGAATCTAATATTTATAAATAATTTTCTGCTTGATTATAATTTGAAAATTTGAAAATATATATATATCAAATAGAAGAATATCCTCTGCAGAAAGTTTTTTTTTTTTTTAAATCTTTTACCATCATGAAGTTAAATAATTGAAGTAAATGCCAGTAATTAAAGTAATAATGACAGCTTATAAACCATTAGTTATGATATTAGTTTTATAGCCAATGTTTAAGTAATCACATGCTTGTCTTGTGCCCCCCTAAGGCATCAATCTTTTTATAATTTCTTTTGTAAATAAGTTCTTTATCTTGTTTATAATTTGTTATGAATAAATTAATTGTTAGAGTTTCTTTCTCTGAGTGTGTATTTTTTTTTCCCTCTCTTGTGGTTAGATGTAGGAACTGAAAAATCGACGTAAAATTTTTTCGGAGTAAGAGAAATGAATTTGTTAATACGAATTAAATTACATTTTAATTATTATAATAAAAAGTTTTAAGGAATTGACATTAAAGAATCCGAATTGATTCAATAAAATTTCGATGATGTCGAGCCCTGAGCTTAAAGACTGAATACGAAGAACGGGATCTAATGAGATATTTGAAACGGCATGCTTAAAAGGATAAAAATATTAATCTTCGCTTGTTCCCAAACCACGTAAAATGGTACCGCGTAATCAGAGACAAGCTTCTTCAGTTTGGAAAAAATGAAAGCAAGAGTATATTGATGATTTCTCACCGTCCAAAAAGAATTTCTTCATAAAGAATGAATTTATGTAAATTCTATGTATCTATCTTCAACACCAAGAGTAGCCCATTAGTGCATTGTACGTGCCCTTACAATGTGTAACCCCACCACGAGGGACATTTCCATACTATAATGGACAATACTTGCATTTATTTTTTATTTTTTATTTTTACTAAAGATATTCTCGTTTGCTCTCTTTCTTGCAAGATGGATAAGATTCTAGAAAATACAAGTGAATAATATAGTAAATCAACACTTCACAAGTCAAATGCATCTAAGTACTTTGCAAATGAGATTTTATAAATTCAAAATTTAAATATTATGCACCTAGATAATAGACAAGTGGTTCATTCATCTTTCTATTGTAAGTTTCAAGAACGTGAAGAACTTCGAAAATATGCATGCTTGTGCAATTCATTCTATCTGTGCAAAAGGGACTGCAAGCATGTGTATGTATTTATTTGGTGGGACAAGGCTGCAGCGGCAAAGGTCCCTTTCTGAAGGATGGGAGACAAAGACACTACATTGCCACCTTCCCACTTCCTCACCTGCTGCTCCTCTAATTATATAATCAATGAGATATACTTGGTGTACATGATAAAGCTGTATAGGATTTATACGGGACGTGTCATTTTTTCATTGGGACTTGACAAAAATAAAAATAAAAAATGCAACCATACAGTTGTTGCGCCCTTTGAAACACCCACGGTTTTCCTTTTACTTGGCTACGTAAGTATTTTTTCACCGCTTCATTTTGATAAGTTCTAAACTAACATATTTAACGACAACCACATACTATATTCATTCCTTCACTTGGTTCATTGCTTGATTTTTAGTAGCTTCACTGAGGTATTTTGTAGAACAAATGCATTCTCCACCAAGACCATGTTCTTCTTATTACAGAGTACAGGCTATAGACTAGCTTAACGATTTCAGAAATACAAAATATTGGAAGCAGCAACGCCTATCAGTAACCAAGTAGAATGCATGTTTGTGAATATTCATTGTTCGCTGTTCAAGAATTCTTGTTTGGATAGTTTATATCATCCACATAGTATTTTGATATAAGATTTCAATTTTTCCGTGTTTTAACAGTAACCAAACATAAAAACTAAAACAAATTTGATTTGCGATCGAAAAATTACCATCACCACTATATCATCCAAAACTCAGAAATCTGAAGATATGCAAGCGAGGTAGAATACAATATAATCAGGGACGGAGCCACCTTAAGTCCAATGGAGGCAAATGCCTGCACTAAACTTTTACCAATAAAAAAATAAAAAAATAAATAAATATATAATATATAGATATAAACAATGTGTCCCTCTCGCGAGCTCGTGCCAGTGCCCCTGCATCTTATCACAGACAATATATTTGGAGGAAGGGTTCCAAATGGAGATGCAATCATGTGAGCATAAACTGATAAGCCAAAAAATGAGCAAAACCAAACAAAACAAAATAAGCCCCTATTTGTCATCCATTTTCTTCCATTATTTCCCATTATTTTTCTACAATACTCATTTTCAACCACACATTCTTCATTAAAATAATATTACACGTAAATAAAGAACTTTTCCTTCTTTTTTTAACTACACATTTCAACATCAATTATTATTCCATAATACATTCTTCCCAAATAATGGGTGACAAACACACCCTAAATTGAATACATCTCTGTGCTCGCAGTTCTGTCTGCTGCATTCAGCATAGCAGTTCCTTTGTGTTTCACACAGTTGCATGTAAATCCTAATCTAAATCACTGATAGATAACATCAGATTACAGGGTATAGGATTATCCACTCCTTTCAAATAAACAAGCTAGCAACACTTTGTACTTGAATGGCTTATTGAATAAACTCATTTTACCAGCAAACTCATTGATATTAATTAATTAGGCACTTGAAAATATGCTGGAAACATCACAGATTGACTAGTAGTAGGTGTCAATCAACCAATAAAAGAGACTTTAAAAAGAAACGGCTTCAACGCATAACACATTAGCAAGAATCATCCAGAGCTAATTAGATCCACGTTTGACAGTTTCTTCAGCTCGTGTTAGTGCATCTGTGAGCACATCTACAGTCCAATCCTTCATGTCTTCCTGAGATGGAAATTAAACCATTGAGCATAAAGATTCCTAGATCAAAGAGAACAGTAATAATATCATGTGGAGAAGGAGATAAGAAAAAGAAGCAAAAAGAGGGGGGGAAAAAAGCACGAAACCAAGTGACCACACAAAACTATGTCTATTTAGAGTGAACTGCTCTACTATTATTATTTCTTTAATATTGTTACCAAGATAATCAAAACTAAGACTAAGTGATTATTGATTTTGTTCTTCAGAAATTTTGGTGCAAAAGAATTAGAAGCTACATATTAGTCCACGTCATCAAAATCATTACAAAGAGCAAGTTAAATATGCACTTTCTGGAGGGATCACTCGATTTCAACTTGAAGCAAGTCTCTCATTTTCCTATTATTTGTCTATCTGCAAAAGCCTAAGTTGAGCCATCTACCCTAGTTTCATTGAACAAGAAGCAAATTTGCTTTGGCCTTCTCCTCAGTATCTTTATGCACAGGTGTCCATCCAATCCACTTGTAATAATCTTACAGTAAAAAGGCTAAAGAGATTCGAGTCGACAAAACATGCCTGTTCCAGATAACCATTAAATTGCTCAAAATACTGAGTTCTTGATAATTATTTGGGCTTATTACTTAAAGTAATATTCACGTTTGTTTACACAAAACAGAGGCAGAAATAATGGTAATCAGAAGTAGACAGCTCTAAATATCATTTCAATTCTATTTCTTATGTCTGTGTGACCTCAATAGACTCAACATAACTCCACAAAGTCTTATAGTATAATTAAATAGGATTAGCCGCATGAACCTTCTTTGTCCCATCTGCATTATCAAGGATCATCCCAGTAACGAAGGTTCAAATCTTTTCTAATTCCCTCCAGATATGGATCTATGATACACTTAAAATATAAAAAATCAGTACAGGATCCCAAAGTTGAAAAAATGTCCAATTTTCATGTGCAATGGAGTACTTGAAGGTGTCCATATCTTATGAGGATCACTTTTATGTTGGTCAATGAGTTCATAGTTTAACGTCAAACAAATCCCCACCCAGTGTCTTAGAGCTTGTTTGATTCAGATTAAAATCTGATTTTAATCTAAGTCAAAGTACAACAATCAATATTAATCATATCTTTCAAGGATCTCACTACTTTTTAATCACACATTTCAAAAATTTTACTCACAATCTACTAAAAAAATCTAATTTTAATCCTAACCAATCACCCTCTTAATTTCTTTTAGAAATGGACAATTTCATTTTGTAAGAGTTTGAATCCTGATTAACTTGTAGGTCAAGGATATGTCAATGCCATTTTTAGGACAAATGCTAATGACAGTGAACTTTTTAAGATCTTCAACACCCAGTTATAGATTCAAGGACAAAATTGTAAAGTAATATTGCATAACTATAAGATGCAATATGTTGTGCAAACAGCCTTAATATTAACGCACCAAAAATGACTTATTTTCTAAGGCTAAATTTTTTTCCCACGTAGTAGCCCGATTTAAAATTTTATAGTTCAGTCTTGGATCCAATCCTAGATTCGTCCCTGCATACATCATACAGAGAAACAGATGCCAATTCACCCATTAGTTTTTTTTCATTTCATGATATTCAATTGTACACAAATTTATTAGACTTTATATATATTTTGGTAGAAAAGAAAACATGAGAATAAATCTCTATTGCGGATTTTTTCTTTTCCATTTCAAATTCCTAGATGAAATCTAAGATCCAATTTGAGCTTGAAGAAAGAAGTTTTGAAGTATGCTCTAAGGCCAATCTACATAATGGATCAAGACATATTTTCTACTTTTATTACACTTATTAATGAGAGAGATGAATATGTCATACTAAGGTAATTCAAGTCAACGAATTAAAGTAAAGGAAAGGTAATTCAAGTCAACGAATTAAAGTAAAGGAAAGGTAATTCAAGTCAACGAATTAAAGTAAAGGAAAGGTAATTCAAGTCAACGAATTAAAGTAAAGGAAAGGTAATTCAAGTCAACGAATTAAAGTAAAGGAAAGGTAATTCAAGTCAACGAATTAAAGTAAAGGAAAGGTAATTCAAGTCAACGAATTAAAGTAAAGGAAATATATTTTTAACGATGTTAAAAAATGAAACCTTCATGCCTTGAACGCTAAATTCTTAAAAATATCTAACAATTGAAAAAAATAGTTGAGCTTTGATACTCCCAGTATGACCAACATAGTCTCCCAGTGAGAACTACTTTAGTATCTCGGACGAGATTCCAGAGTAATCATGAGGGCACTTGTTCAAGTTAGCACATACATTACTATAGGACTAATACTTTCCGTATTATTATTTTTAAGTTAGGAAAATTTCCATTTCATTTCTATTATAGATTTTATGTATAAATAGGGGTCTAATTTTTCAATTACATAGAGTATTAAATTGATTGTTATGTTATTCAGATACTAAAGTTTCTGTCTCAAATTCTTTCTTTCTTTCTTTTTCATATTTCTTTCCCGTTCTGCATCAATTTTGGCTCCTCCTAGACGAACTAACCTTAGTAACTAAACTAAAGTACAAGGATAGCATGGATGATACGCTGGATTACATAATAATGCATGAGAGTATGAAATGAAGGTACAATAAAAGCATGAAATCATTCAACCGCAAACTACTACGTGTTAGAATTGAACTGAAGGCAGAAGGCTGCCTTTGGGGAGTGAAAGTCCATAAAATTTTGAATAAATATAGGTTTTGCTTTTGTCTGCTGAAAGGGTACCTAATATTTTTTTCAAGTGGTTTAAACCAAGAAAGGGAAAGAAATTGATGAAGCTTTGATTTTACCAAGTGCATTGGTTCCCCAGTCCTTATTCGTGCATTTGGACGAGCAAGCTTAGATTCAAATGGAGTTCTTGGCCGTACTTCCTGAATTTCTTCCCACTCCTCACGAGTCAGCATCCTAACAGTTCCCTGACCAGAAGGGGCATTCTTTATTTTCCGCTCGATCATCTCCTGAGACTTGGACTCATCAAGCTGTCAGCATGCAAGATTATTACCATCAGTTGCAAATCACAACTTCCTTAATATAAAACACAGCAAAACTAATGAAAATCAACATAGAAGGAGATGGATTTTTATTATGTAATATGCGTATAATGACCAGATCAAAGATAACTCCTGACCACAGACCAAAGAGAGACCTCAAATTTTATTTTTTCTGGGAGACAACCTGAGTAATTTCCAACCAAATCCCAGCGACCTTCTATAAGATCTTTAAAGTTAGCAAATAGTATGGCTTCCATCATTGGTAGCTTAAACGGCTGTTTGTTTAAAAGATAACTACATTCTCAAAATCTGAAGGAATGAAACTTTTAGGAGAGCATAAATATTAAGGAAACCCATCTAATTGTCAAACCATTTGTTAAGAAAAAGTTAAAATTGGTCACCCAATTTCAAATTCTCTATCTTCTTTGTGCTTTCTTAAGAAAGGCTAATCATAACACCATAAAACATAATGCCTACAATGGGAAGTGACAACCATATGGATGGAGCCACGCGTCCCTTCATCCAACGGCCATTATCCGTACTCTTACACTATAAAAGCTCACACTTAGTGCCAACTCAAGGTACTGCAAGTTTAGACTTTCAAGCTATAACTTTGCTCTCTCTCTTTTTCTATACATTATTTCCAAAACCGACCCCCTTGTTATATTGGAGGCTCACATTTAACGCCATCTCACACTCATATATTTATTCAACAAACTGACTTGACTATCAGAGTGCACGCGGCCGACTCCACCCCCACCCGAGGAGGCCACGTATGACTAACGATCTATCCTAGAGGGCAAAAACACGACTTAAGTGGATGTGAGAGGTATTGGAACCTGTTTGCTCAGAGGTATGTTTTGAGGGGCTAACAGACTACATTTACTTGCTTTTAAATGCTTTAAAACATATTCAAGTTATTGCTCTCGACTAACTTGTTTCTTTATCTATATCCCATTTACCTCCAAACAAATCCATGTTGTTACTCACAACTAAAAGATCATGTCAAACCAAAATAATGGTTTGAAATGAGGGATCATAGTGACGACGTCTTGATTCCACTGCACTATAGATTTGAAGATTCCATTACAACCATAAATTCAAAACTTTCATTGAAATAATCATATGACCTCAAGCCATATCAGATTTTCATATGGATTAAATTAGTTTCACCTATATACAAGCTACCAGATAAAGCGTAAGCATGAACATCCCTCTATTGTAAAAACACTAAATCAATTGTACATAGCATGTCTAAGCAACAAATCAAGATCCAATTTAAACAAGATATTCTGGGAACAAATAAAAAATACCGAAAGCAAAAAATTTTAACAGTTTGGTTTAAATCAAACTCCAGGGTTGGAACTGCAGAGCATACCCTTAGACAGAGACCTGCAGCCCTTGGTGTCAATGCCAATGCAAGAGGTGAGTCTGGCCGTGAAGATTGCTGTGTAAAGTGGCAGCAGAAACTGGAATGTAGCGATTTGAGACAATGGCCTGAAATAAAATTCAGCGTCAAAAATAAAAATTTGGTTGAAGCATCCAATGAAAACTCGTTTGAGATAACGGCCTATAGTTCAAAAATTAAAACGAAAAATTAGATCTTGAATAAAAGTGGTAAAATGGATCACATGAAAGGTCAATTGGGGTTTAAGAGTAAACCATCTGGGATAGTATCTTCAGATTCACAATGAAATCTCAAAACAAAATCTTGATTCTAAAAATAAGCCCAATATGCATCCTGGGTTTCACATAGAACCGAGGATATATCAATATCACGACCAGAAATTCAAGTATAAACTAAAAAAATGACATTTTCCTTCAAGAATTGAAATGGGTCTTGAATGGGGGGTTTTACGGCTATTGAGATTAAACAAAAACCTTGAAGAAAAAGACGGAGAGGCGTGTGGTGATAGAATGGAGAAAGTGGGCTTGCTTGGGGTCTTTGAATTGGTGGATTTGAGAAGATTAACTGCTGGTGACAGTATTCTATAGCGAGACGCCGTTGTTGTTGATTGCAGTCTGCAGATACTGAATGATATGCTTCATTTTTATTTGTTATTTTGTTTTTGTGTATTTTCAGGTGCAAAGGGAAAACAGGATCGAGGGTTTTGGTGAGGTTTTAGAAGCTTAGTACGTTTTGTACATTATTCCTAAAATGTTGTACTCTTTCTATTTCTTGAGACGACCAATTTCGATCACTTGTGGCACGTAAATATGTCCAGATAGCTCCTGGCTTCCTACTTCAAGACGAGCTCGGAGTCCATTGGAAAATGAATAGACGGACGTAACTCATTTTGCTAATATTTTCTCGACCTACTTCTGGTTTGAGTAATGCTATTTAACTTCATTGAGATTACAATATCAATTTAGGTGGCACTGAATGATAGATGTTGACCTCGTGATTTGTACCTTCCACGTGGTGAACCAAGTGTCACTCTACGTGTTCCTCCTTGCACACAATAGCAAACGGTCAAAGCACACAATTGGAACTAACAGGGATGGTGGCGGCCGTATACACTTCAACGATCAAGTCAATGGAACGATAACGAGAATAATATCGAAATTGTGTAAGATATTGGGGAGGAGAATATATGTTATACTTGTGTGCGGAGTGCCAAGTATACTTGGAGAGAGTTGCATTACCTTTGTCTTTTACCCAACCTTTGGTATTTATAGGTGAAGGACGCCGTTGGATGTGAAACATGTGTATACATCTGACGGTGTGAGGCGTCTGTTCATAGGCGTTAATCAATCGCATTTAGAGGGGACGGGTAATCAATCATCTGAATTGAGTTGACATAAAATTGAGATGTCACATCAATCAATCTATGAAGGTAAAAAAGGATTCTGACACAGATATATTTCTGAAACTGGTGGTAGAAAGGCTTCCTTTGCAAATGTGCTTTGGCACTCCTCACACTTCGATAAGTTGGGGGATGCCTCGACATTACTTTGGATATGCTTGTGCGTCGCGACATGTTTAGTTTGAGGATCGTGTCACTTTGGAAGGGCCTCAGACCAATTCGGAACCAGTTCGGCAAGACACTTGGTACCTTGCTAAGGGGTAAGCTAAATGTGCCGAGGTGGATTAGTGAGGGGCGTAAAAGTAGTGGGCCTCAGACCACCTCGGAACCAGTTCGACAGGACTGGTGGTAGAGAGGCTTCTTTTGCAGATGTGCTTCGGCACTCCTCACACTTTGATAAGTTGGGGGATGCCTCGGCATTACTTTGGATATGCTTGTGCATTGTAGCATGTTTAGTTTGAGGATCGTGTCACTTCGAAAGGGCCTCAAACCACTTCGGAACCAGTTCGACAAGACACGTGGCACCTTGATAAGGGGTAGGCTAGAAGTGTCGAGATAGATTAGTGAGAGGCGTAACAGTAGTGGGCCTCAAACCACTTCGAAACCAATTCGGCAGGACATGTGACATCTTGCTAAGGGGCAGGCTAGGCGTGTCGAGGTGGATTAGTGAGGGGTGTAACAATAGGTCAAATGAAATGTGAATTAAATGACTTATTTAATTTCATTTATCATTTAGGGTCCGTTTGATTGCGAAAATGAAATTTGGGTGGAAAGAAAATGAATTTTAGAGAATTGAATTGTTTAGAAATTATTTTCCTGAAAATTGTAAATTACTATATTTGATTAATATAATTTTTCACGTGGAATTCGTTGAAATAAATGTGTTTTTTGTGTTCTTTTGGCTTTGTTTTAAATGAAAATTGTTAATTAAAGGGATAAATTTTATTGATATTGGGAATGAAATTTGTTTCCATTGCCAAAAACAAACAAAAAAACAAAAATTCAAGAAAATCATCTATTTTTGGTGTTCGTTTGACTTTATTTTATATAAAAATTGTTAATTAAAGGAATTTTTTTTTTTTTACAATTAGAGATAAAATTTGTTTTCATTGCTATTAAAAAAAAAGGAAAAAAAATATTTGCTATAGTAACCGAAAAAACCAAAAAAAAGAAAAAAAAATCCTATGTGGCAAGGCAACCAAGAAATCCATTTTCATGGAAAAAAAAGCCATCAAACACCCTTAAAATTGAAAAATGGAATCCATGGAAAATCTCTCCTATCAAACATATCCTTAATGTCACCTAAATTGATATTGTAGCCCCATTGAGGATATAAAACATTATTATTTTGGTTTAGTTATGGCCATAATGTCATTCACTAGTTTTACAAGCTGTGGATCTCTTGATTTATTATCTCATTTATTAAAATTAAGGGTCCGTTTGATTACAAAGATGAAATTGAATTGAATTAAAAACGAATTTTAGGGAATTGAATTGTCTAGAAATTGTTTTTCTGAGAATTGTAAATTATTGTGTTTGATTGGTATAATTTTTCACGTGAAAAATGTTGAAATAAAAGTGTTTTTTTGGTACTCGTTTGACTTTGTTTTACATAAAAATTGTCAATTAAAAAGATGGATTTTACTAATATTGGAGATGAAATTTGTTTCCATTGTCAACAAAAAAAAAACTCAAGAAAATCATCTATTTTTTGTGTTCGTTTGACTTTGTTTTACATGAAAAATTTTAATTAAATGGAAATATTTTTTTACAATAATTCTTAAAATTTATTTCCATTGCTAACAAAAAAAAAAAAAAAAAATCTCTACAGTGTCCGGAAAACAAATTATCACCAATATGGTGAGAATTAAAATTCAAGAAAAACTTTGTCAATTAAACATGCCAAAAGTGGAATTTGAAATTGTTTTTCCATTTTCCTTAGAAAATAAAGGACTATTAAACATGTCCTAATAGTTTAAAAGGCATAAAAAGGTGACGATTAAACTTCGTGCATTTTCATAATGCCCCGAATAAGGAAAATACATAGAAAAAGGGGTGCAACTACTCTTTTAAACGCCAATGCAGGCCTACACATCAAAATGTGATACGTGAATACCATTTTTTATTTTTTTATTATTTATTTAAAACAATTCTAATTTTTTCGTCATTTTTTGGACTAATGACTGACGTGTGCCTGGACACTAATTAGTCTGAACAAGAAAACCATTTACTTCTAAGAGGGTCTTGCGCTCTAAATTTTCAATTATTTAATTTTTGGAATCTTAAAAGGTATCTTGTTGCAGGAATTATTATGTAATTATTATATTTATGATTTTAATTGTTAGAATAATAAAATTAAATATTAAAATTAAATAGTTTACGCCTAAATTTTGGCTAGGCATACTTTTTGAGGTTTGATCGCACTAACTTACCATACCTTCTTTTAAAGCACTGATCAGAACGTGTCACAACTCCACCAAGCAATAAAATTATGGGATTCATTGTTACTTAGCCGATGACACAATTTGAAGAATAACAATATTCCTTAAATACTATTAAGAATCAAAAATTAAAATTACATGGGAAATCTCAACTTTCAGGAAATAAAGCTAACAGATTCACAACTTTCAATTCTTTGCAAGTAGTTTTTCCACTTTTTAATATTATAGTATTAACTTGATTCTATCGATTAAGATATTGGTCATCGGATTATTGATTGAACCAATGGATCATTGATTATATCAATAGATAATTACCTGATTTTTCTTTAATTTTTAATTTTTTGGTTGTAAAGTTCCCAAATTATGTCTTCGAGACAAAATTTAAAATTTTATGTTGTTTGTCACTATTTTTTTTTTTAATATCTCTATTCGCATGTAAATTATATTTGTAAATAGAATACTTGTGTTTAATTTTATAATTTTGTACAATATATATGTTTATGTACAAACATTTTATTTATTAAAAAAAAAGATTTATCTATATACATATTAACAAATTTATAAAATAGCTTTTTGACCATAAAAAAGCTAATAACACGTGTTTTTAAGATTTTTCACTTGATTAATTTAGAAACACACTACACGGACCTGTTTCGTCAAGAAAGAAACAAGTTGGGGCGAGCCCCACAATTTTTTTTTTAAAATACATGTGGGCCCGCCCCCAAATAGTGTAAGGCCCTTGTGAAACACTGCACCTGTACGTGCAGTGTTTTTCATTAATTTATATGCACTAAATTTTTTTAGAAAAATAAAATTTGACATCAATGAAAGTAGGTGATTGCTTGTACAAAGTATGGGTTAAAATTTAAATTGTCACGGTAATTTCTTAAATGTTTTACAATTATCCTTGAACTTCAAAAGATTTTCGAGATATTAACAAACCATTAGAAATCTTTCTGAGTTGTTACTGAATTTCAAAAGTGTCACTTGTCATCACCATTTTAAAAGTTAATGCACTTGGTTGAATCCCAACCTTAAGGGCCCCCACCGACCCTACCCTGGACCATCGTGGAGGAGGTAAATCGCAGGATGTGCCTCCCAGGAGTCAGGGTGGAGAGCACATGGATAGGCCAAGGCTGTTAACCCATAGGGTAACTCCCGCTTGTAACAAAACCAATTCCACCTTGCGGAGAATCGAACTCTGCACAATGCCGCGCTGAGCCCTATCCGCCCTCCCCTTTGCCACTGGGAGATATGCCATGGGGGCTTAAAAGTTAATGCACTTGATTCAATTGTAGCTGAAATGACAAATATGATAACATTCAATAAATTTATAAAATCCATCAACTTTTAAAATGGTTGGTAACAGAGTAATGGATAAGATAATATTTTGGTCCAAAACATCTTGGATAATATTTAAAGTTTATTTAGAAATGGGGAAAATTTCGAAAAGTTTAATGGCATTTCGAAACCCTTTTAACTTTTAAAGACAATTGAAAAATATTTGAAAAAAATTCAATCATAAAGTAAATATAAATAATTTCGATGATTGAACTAGTTTGTTTGGTTTGGAAAAAAGTTATATTAAATTTAATCTCGATAATTTTTAAGAAATATGAACCTACTGCCACCTGCATAGTCAACTAGATCGATGTTAAGCATTTGCGTACATATGATTAGTCATAATTGTAAATGCAAACCAACTACAAATTTATTTGAAATATAAACATCTCTCGAGAATTATGTTACCTCGCATATATATGATGGGTTTATATAATGTCAATTATATAGAGAATGACAAATGTAAAAGGAGAAAATATTAAAATAAAAATATTTAAATGAATGTATGGTTTAGCCCCTACTGATTTTTTACTACAAATCAAATTTTTAGTAGAAAAGTTGATCAAGCGTATGATCGAAAAGTTGATAAACGTGTGGATTCCATAAGGCCCCTGTTTGGTGCTAATAAAAATTAAGATTTTAATTCAAATTAAAGTTAATTTTAACGACATATTTCATAAAATTCACAACTTTTCAATTATATATTTCATCAATTTCTATCAAAATCTACTAAAAATTTAATTTTTAATTCCCATCAAATTGGGGCTAAATCGATGATTAAAATTAATTATTGACTTTAAATTAAAATTTTATTCATTTTTTGACTAAACCGACATGGACTTCCGAGTAGGTTGGAATTTATGTAAAATTAACAAAAGCAACACCAAAAGGAAAGAGAGAAAGAAGGAATATTCGAATTAATCATATAAATGCCTTCGCGTAGCTGAAAAGTCTTTATTTACAAGTAACATTAACGTAGCATGCATCAAGATTTCCAAAGACATTACGTGCCTTAAAACACTACCGTTATCATTACAAGCAAGACCAACTCAATTTCCCAATGTTTCCACCTTACACAATCCCCAACTTGTCCCTCCAAACTCTCTAAAGAATGTCCATCACGTTTAGACAACCTTATAGTCTCCAAATGTATCTCCTCAACATTCATAACTAACTTCCGCTTTCGAAAAATGGAGTCCTCTTCCTCCACCTCCGCCCCCGATTCCTCCCCACGGCGGCCCTACCGCTTCACTCCAACGCAACCCCTCACCGACCGTGCAATCCGTGCTGTTCGCCACCGTCTCCGCCTCCTCCACCGGGTGGATTCCATGTTCTTTGTACTAGGAGCGACGGGAAATGTGTACACCGTTAACTTATCCACTGTCCCCTCGTGTACCTGCCCGGATAGGACAGTTCCGTGTAAACATATTCTCTTTGTGTTAATTCGCGTACTTGGAATTCCACTTGATGATTCTTGCCTTTGGCGTCGGAGTCTTAGGCCGTGCCAACTCCACCGGCTGCTGAGCTTGCCTACTTCGGACGAAGCTTTGGCCGGAGACCAAGTGAGGGAAAGGTTTCACCAGCTGTTTTTGCAAGCGACGCCGAGTAGTTCGCGGCCGTGTGTGGAGGTGGAAGGTGGCGCTGCCTGTCCGGTTTGTCTAGAGGAGATGAAGAAAGGAGACAACGTGGTGGCTTGTGGGACTTGCAAGAATCCAATTCATGAAGAGTGCTTATTGGCGTGGAAGAGGAGTAGCCGGAGAAGATCCACCACTTGCGTAATCTGCCGTGCACGGTGGCGTAATATTGCAGAACAAGAAAAGTATTTGAATCTCTCAGCTTATATTAATGAAAATGACATGCCAGAGGGTCATGATGGTCGATGTGGCGGTTAATTCAAGAATCAATGCCTTCACATGTTAGAGTGAAAGTTAATTAGTAGAATTTAGGGTTTAAATTCTTCTGTAAATACATTTCTTTAGATTTTAGAGCTGCAATAATTTGTAAATAATTCATATTGTTTTCAAAATCTAACTCTAGAGTAGAATCTATTTATTCAAGATCAGTATTAATTCTTGTATTCTTGAATGAGTGATTTGTCTTCTCTCGACTTATAGCAACTGTGTTGTTTTTTTTATAACGATATTTATGCAATTTCTTTTAGCGTTAGTCATGCGGGTAATTGATCAGTTCTCTCACCAATGTTTGCAACAAAAAATAAGCAAGTTCTTGTTCGAATTCGTACTCTTGTTCATTATTTCCACTGTTCCGCTGCATCAACAGTCGCCAATTTTTTGGGTTCTTTTTTGGTAAATCCATACAAGTAAGATCTGTAAAATTTGTTATATGAAAAAAAAAAATGTATAGAAAAATCCCACACAAGTTTATTGATGAGCTTGTTTCACTCACGAACTTGCACAATTTTAGCTTATTTTTTTGCTAGATCTTGTGAGTATAGAACGTTTTTGATGTATTTGTTAGTGATATTTTGAAAATTAGGAAAGACGATGCAAAAAAAGATGCTAAAGTGGAAGAAGTCAAAAATAAAGAATATGGGGCAGAAAGGCAGCGCCCAGGCGCTACAAAAATTGAAAAAAAACGAAGATTTGAGGTAGCGCCTTAGCTTAATTTTTCACGACGCTTAGGCATTGATTCCTACCGCTTAGGCGCTGTGCCGGGGTTGTCTAGGGCGCATTTTTTGCCCATTTTAAAGTCCATAAAAACCCTACTTTCTATACAAATGGAGAGGCATCTATAAATACAAATTTCTCACACTTTTGAGGGGAATTCACAAGAATCAAAAGATGAATTTAAAGGAGGAAAACATCAAGCAATTGGAAGTTTAACACATTGATTGAAAGAGGAAGGAGATCTTGGTCCAAGAATTTTAATTTTTCTTTTGCATCTTTACTACAAATCTGGTGATATATTTTAAGACAATTATTTTTTTCTTCCTTCATTATGAATAGTTAAATTCATTGTTAGGGTGAATAATGTAACCAATTGGGATTCTTTATATTTTCTCATCAAGATTTTTGGTTTTTACTATTTCATGTATTGATTTTACTATGAAGTGAATATATTAAATTACTTGATCAATAACACAATGATTTTGTAAACCTTTTACGAATAGAGATATGAATTTAGGATTTAGACCATATAGTAAAATTCGGTAAATTGGTATAACGAGTAGAGATACCTATCCAATTATTGCGGTCATAATTGAATTCGTAGGACAAAGAACTCGTTTAACTAAGTTGAATTTGCATTGAGATATGAAATTTAATTAGTTAAATAGAATCAATGAGAGCTCAAGAAGGATAAATTGAATATAATAGAAGAATTCGATTGAATACTACATTAGATGTAAATCTTAATTTGAGATGTAAAGGTGATCAATAGGTGAAGCTATTCTGTCCTAACGTCCATTCATTATTTGATTTTCAAAACAATTGTGTGTGCATCTATTTATTTTTTAGTATTTAGATTAAAACTCAAATCCTACAACCTTTTATTTGTTTTCTTATAGTGCTTAAAAAAATTGAATTAAGAGCTAGAATATATTCCTTGTAGGATCGACAACCCGAACTATTAGGTTCAATATTACTTGTTACGGTCCGTACACTTGCGGAAATAAAATTGACAACATTTATTCATAATAAAGTTCATACAAATAATTATACATATAGTGGACACAATGGTTTACCCTTTTAGCAAATAAATCTGGTTTTATTCCAATCTTCAAGTGAATTCATAATCTGCAGAGAAACCCCGATAAATTTATCTCTTGCACACCACTCCACGGCCATCAAACCCACTTGCACAGTTCAGATTTCCATACTCAAAAGTGTTCGACGAAATTAAAGATTCGGTTTTCTTGAACCTGGCAACTGCACAATCTGTAGAAAATAGACCTGAAGAAGCAAATTCTCTTTGTCCACCCAAAACAGGCATGTCTATTCCCATTTTAACCCTACTCGTATAGTTTCTTGCATATGTTTGGCCCAAAACTCCATTAACTTCACCACTTAAAGAATAAAACCTGAATCCCAGATCAAGATGTGCGAAACAATCCTCTTCTGTAATGCCATATTTATGTACTTTGGAGTCATGTTTTGTTATAGGCACAACTGTTGCTTTAATCTGGAAATTGTTTTCTACTTCAATTACTACTGAATTAGTGTCGCTGCCGGATCTAGCGATGGAAACACCAGTTGCAAGTTTTCGTTTTGCACCATCTTGGGGCAGGAGGAAGACGGGGACTCCATTGAAGGACATGTTTAAATGGTCGATAGAGTTCTCCCATAATCCTGTCTTTTGTGCTCCAACAAAGATTTGGTGATCATCGAAGAGAATTCCGAGAGACTGAACCCATGTAAAGTCTCGTCCCATGTTGGCATTTCTTCTGCCGATGAAATGGGCGTTTATGTGCAGGTTGGAATCGGTTACTATGCAGAATTCCTTGTCCTTCTTGCCATGGAAGTAGAAGGTGATTCCATCTGCGCCAACGAATCGGGGGTCTTGGCACACTGCGCCTGGCTTGTTGCAATCTGCTCATATTTTTGCATGAAATTTTGTTAAATTATGCATTGATTATGGAAAACTTACACGAAAAACAGAAAATTAAGAATATTTGAACATTAAACGAATCACCTAGTCATTTTAAATATTTGACAAACAGAAAAATAAGCTAGCTTATTGAAAGAGAAAACTTACTGCAGACAGGGCTGCAAGTGACACAATCAACTTCACAATAATCTGGACAAGCAGCCGGGCACCGGTGTTCCATATTGTAGCATGTACCGTACGCTTTGTTTTTGCACCGGACTCTCTTCCCGCCGGCAGCTTCTGAACCATCAGGAGGCGGAGGACTTGGTGAAACTGGTGGCATTGGCGGCTGTGGTGGGATGGGCGGAGTTAGTGTTGGATTGGGAGTAGGAGGCGGCGGCTTAGATGGTGGTGGAACACAAAACGGCTTGCATGATTCACAATCAATATCACATGAACGTGGGCAACTTTCCGGACAGTATAGGTCCTTCTTCTTGAAACATTCATTGAATTTTTTGTCTTTACACTTCACTTTCTTTGGCTTGCGGGTTGCGCCCTCGGCCACCAGGGCCACCGTGAGGAGGAGGATGAACAATAAAACTAGGCGGCGTGTCATGTCTTTTCTGCTGTTCGAACTTGTTATATTAGACAATGGAGGAGATTTTTCTGCATAGAATAGTAACTAATGGTGTCAATTTATAGCGATTGAAAAGTGAAGATGATTTGCAAGAGCATTAATTGAGTGTTTTCTTTGTTTGTGATTGAAGTGTTCATCGATGTATTTTGTTACTTCACATGGAGTTTTCCTGAAAAATTGTCATAGTCAACCTTCATAAACCTTTGTAAAGAAGTTACATTAATTTACCAATGTGGAGGTGCTGGTCGAGTTAATCAATCTAAATTTACGAATTATTCTAAATAATTCCTTGGTCGATTAATGAGAAATTAACCAAATAAAGTGTCCCTCATTTGGTGTTGTAAAAATTACGAAGAAAAGTCTTACCTTCGCTAGGGATGTGGGTTTATAAGGAAATTCGATTACTCTTCTTAATTGTCAATTTTTAGGATGAATCCTCAAATGTGATTGATTATTATCGTCATCGAAATCTAGACTTGTCCATGCAAATGTGCAAGATGAATCTTTAGACATGAATCTTCATACATGTGCAAGTACATCCGAGCTAGAACCAAAAAAATAATCCATAGTTGGCTTCCAACAGGGTTACATCGATAGTTAAAGAGTCAAGCCTTTAATGGAGCGTGTGATTCTTTCTAGTTTGAGAAGGATTGAGAGGGATCACATAGTTTGAGCGAGAAGAGATGATCTAGTACTTCACTAGATGGAAATTATTGAAAAAAATGTGAAGAAAAGCCCCAAGTCCCCAAACATGGGATAGTTTAGTGTTTTTAAATAATTTACTCTTCTTAATAAATTAGACTTTTGAAATGAAACCCAAAAACCAACAAATATGAACATTTCGTTTTTTTATTTATAAGACATGAACTTACTATAATGATAGAAGAAACAAAAACATCTTCAAAATTGGTGTGTAACTTTTGTGGGATGTTTGATAAGGTAGAAAACAATGTGAAATATTTTTAAATAAGAAAAAAAAAATCTTTTTATTTTGGTTAGAGATTATAGTTTAAGAAATGCAGTTTTTGCTCGATCTCTACCAATTATTCATGGCAAAAAATTATATAAATTCTGAGGTTGACTTTTTTTGCTTCCTTTTTTTTTTGTTGGTCAATGGCTTTGGAGTCAATCCATGATCTAGCAAATATTCAACTTTAGTCCATACCTTCCCAGGTTACAACCCAATGAAACCCTTTTAACTTGTTTAAGTAATTTGAAGTCGACGACGACAACAACAACAATAATAATATTCTCCAAAGGGTCAATTAATTTTATTTCTTTTACTAGTTTCAGCTCAAAAAATCACCTTCTTCAGTTATGGAAAAAACTAGAATATTTAGAGCTTGTTTGGGAGTGATTTTTCACCCCCAAAAAATTGATTTTTTGATCGTTATTTCACTATTTCAATCGTAAAGTTTGACTTCTTCTTTCACAGGTAGTCCCATTTTTTTCCTAACGGTCACAAAATCAATTTTCAAAATCACTCCCAAACGCAACCTTACATATTATGTTCTTTTTAAGTTTCGTTTTGTCTAATTAAGAAATTCAGATTTCAGTTCTGTATTGTACAGTCGAGTCGTGGCTTGTGACTTGAATATTTTTAATCGTTTCTAATGAAAATTTTTTTGGTACTAGAATCTTATGATTTTAGTGCATAAATGTAAATTCCCGAAACAAATTAAATAAGAGGTGTGATGAAGTGGATTTTTATGTTGTCAATTCTTGGAATATTTGTTGTGTTTTTTGCCTGAATTTTTTATTTTGTGAATCCTCGAGTCATTTCACGTTGAGTGCTTATGCAAAGAGCCCTATATTGCATTATAAAAATGGAAGCTAAGTCTCTAATTATGGTCACTGCTTTAAGAAATGTTGTAGGTCGATATTAATTAATTTATAATGAAATTACAAACTATTAAATCGTAATTTACACATCATAAAGCCGACTAAACTAGATAATGAAAAGACAAATTAGAAATAATAATATTTAAGGTTTAGTGACCCAAATGAATATTTGCTTAAAGTTGAAGTCTCTTAAATTTTTTCGTAGATGTACTATGTTTTGTGTTTAGGACTTGAATTTTGCTATTTTGTCTGAATTTTTTTGTCCGAATGGTTGACATCCCGTCACATGCCTTGGATTCCGCGTGAACAAAAAGTCCAAAAAAAAGTGAGGCCCTCGCCATTATGAGAGTTGGTTACCTCCTTTGTCAAAAAAATTCGGGCATTGTAACGGAATTGTTAGGACTTTGCTAGTTGATATTTTGATGCTACTCTGGCTAACGATTACGACTAGTCTCAGCTTGTATCCAACCTCGATTTCGATGTTCCATGACTTTAGTGCAAAATCTCACCGACTCAATCTTCTATTTTATAAGTCGGGACTTTATAATTCATCAATACTTTGATACTAACTATTTTTTTTTTAATTTTATTTTATTTGGGTAAATGGAAGGAGCCACCTTACCTCCATCAAGTTACAATCCATGAATTTGACTAGGAGCATTTTATAACGAATCCATAAAGACAAAATAAACAAACAAATAAATAATAATAAATTGTCATTTTATAATCACTTATAAGAAAAACAACTATCTTTTCTAGTCTGGTTACTCCAATTGCTTCAATTTTTATTTCGTGCAGCTAGAAGACCTTTGAAGCTTTCTCTTTATATCCTGTGTTAGCTAACCAATTGGTTAAGAGTGCATGCCTGTAGTAAGGTCGTTTCAAGTTATGTATCAGTTTGGCCTCAAATAGGAAATATTTGATAATTTTTTTAGAGTAATGATATTTAGTATTATTGGTATTTAACACGGTCTAGGTGACAACATTAGTAATATTGAATTACATGTTCAATTGCATAAATTATATAATTTCACATTTAATTGAATCTATCACATAATGTCATATAAATTGATACTAGATAGTATTATTTTTTTTCTTACGAGAAACTTATCATTGACCATTTGCATCGAGATATCGTGTCTAGCTATTTCTTTGACAATTTCATATAATTATTTGTGAGAGATGTGAAATTTTCCCCTGACATTGTGACATTTCTCTAAAAACACGGGGGATGATGTTTTCAAGTGGATTGGTCTTCTTTCTCTACAGATCCGCATGTTGATCGATATCTAATTTGCTAATAGTTTGTAGTAATGAGACGTTTTATCCACAGTTTAGGCTTTTCTTCGTGGTGTTTGATAACAATATAATCAAACTTAAGATGCTAAAGCAAGAAGCAGCGAGAGTTTGTCACGCAAAAAGCAAAAACGATGAACTGGATGAGACTTAGTGAAGAAGTCAGCAAGTTGCAACGATGAAGAAACAAAAGGTAGGGAAATGGTTCCAATATGCAGATGATGACGAACCAGATGACAATCAATCTCAATATGCTTTATGCGTTCATGGAACACAGAGTTGTGAGAGATCTGAATGACACTAGTATTATCACAATACATGGAAGTTGGGGAGGAATGAGAAACACCCATGTCTGCAAGTAACCATCGCAACCACACAATCTCAGTGATAGTGGATGCCATAGCTCGATATTCTGCTTTTGTAAAGGAGCGGGAAACAACAGTCTGCTTCTTACTTTTCCAAGAGATAAGTGAATCACCCCGAAAAAACGACGCATGCGCCTTCACGCGCCACCACCGTCTCTGCGCATGGTCCTCAGGCGCCACCGCCACGCTCCATCTAAAATCGACACGCGCCTGACCGAACGTTTCCTTTCAACTTGCTGAATAAGGATCTGGTGTCCGTTTTCTTAATGGATCTCCAGTTTGGTCGGAA